ATTGATCATCGTTCAAGTCCTTTTGAGGAGCAGAAATGTCGTTGGATGTGATTCGTGTCATCAGACAGAGTTTTGGGGTTTTGAACTCGTTTGTTGCAGAAAAGAAAAACAAGAACTTTTGGACATTTAAAGTTAAATTTGGAGCTTTTTTTTTTACCATTTTCTAAACCGAACAAGTCAAATAATTAAGAAAACAAAAATTAATTAAATAAATTAATCACTAATAAAGTTTCCAACCGTCACTTTCATGCTAAATGTGCATAAATATTATAATGAAGAGCTTTTATTATTAGACTGTAATAAATATTATAAACAGGTCAAAATGCTGTGAACTGGTTTATTTATAGATGTGTGGCTGTGACTAACAACAGCGCGTTAATGACTTTTTAAACTCTTTTAGTTAACTATTTACAGAGATAACTTCCTCATAAAACGACACGAAGAATAAAAGACACATTATTCACTTTACTGAATCAAATAAGATTAAAAAAACAACCTTAAATAATGCAGTTAGTTTCCATTAAAGCTGGTTTTAAGAGGAGAACTGGTGAGTTTAAGGTTAAGGTCTAATGCTGGTTGAATTTAAGAGCGCTGAACCAAACTCCATCAAAAAAACTACTAATTTAAAGTTGTGAGGTTTGTAAGTGGAGACAGAAAGCACCGGGAGATCTCACATTAACGACACTCAAAGCCCGACGGACGATTATTAATTCGGCGAACTGAAAAAGCAACAAACTTTATGTTTTCTGGGTTAATTTTAACAAAATGTTCCCGTAGAGGAAAACGGTGGGCGGTAACGTTAGCTCCGAAGCTAAAAGCGGGTTTTAAACGGAACCGCGGCGGGTTGTGAGGACGTGTTTAACGCGGTCCGTCCAGGTATCTGTCGTGTTGTTCCGTGTGAAGTTATAACTCATTTAACTGCAAAGCTTCAGGCGGGAACAGAGTTTACAACGTGTGTCCGGAGGCTAGGCTAGCTCGGTTAGCTCCAATAACAACGTATTGTTCCATTAGCAGCTAACGGCTAGCGGCCAAAAGTGACTCTGCGCAACGGGAACGAACCTGACGTGTTCCGGGCTCATTCTCAGCTGTCAGCACACACCGACACCGTTATATACCGACACCGACACCGTCTGTAGCTGCACCGACACCGACACCGTCTGTCCCGACAACCGACTGCGTACGTAGCTGCTAACAGGCATTAGCGTTAGCTCAAAGGACCCCTGGTGCAAAGAGGGAGATTCTGGACGCCTGTGATCTGCCTGTACGGAAGTGTTGCAATAACCTGGAAAATAAATAAATAAATCCTGTTTTTTATTTTTGTATTTTATTTTTTGTTTTTTGTTTTTTGAATATTTTTTTTCTGTTTTTTTGAATATAATTTTTTCTGTTTTTCTGAGTATTTTTTCTGTTTTCTGAGTAATTTATTTTTGGGTTTGTTTTTTTGAATATTTTTTTCTGTTTTTTTGACTATTGTTTTTTCTGTTTTTCGGAGTAATTTTATTTTTTGGTTTGTTTTTTTGAATAATTTGTTTCTGTTTTTCTGACTAATTTTTTCTGTTTTTCTGACTAATTTTTTCTGTTTTTCTGAGTATTTTTTTCTGTTTTCTGAGTAATTTATTTTTGGGTTTGTTTTTTTTTATATTTTTTTCTGTTTTTCTGACTATTTTGAGTTATTGTTTTTTTAAGGATTTTCACAGTCCTGTTGGAAATCTTTTTGTTCCTATTAATTCTAATAAAATCCCTCAGGATTCTTTTGTATTGACTTTTTATCCCCATTGTAAGAAACATGTTTAGTTCCTGTAGGATATTCATAGTCCTATTAGGTATCTGTTTTTTCCTATTGGATCTTACATGTATAGTAAACATCATAGAAGACTTTCATTCATTTTTACAAGAATTACCAATGTGACTCTTATTTCTTATTTAAAATCTAACTCGGCTATGGATTATTGTTTCAACTACTGCACTACAAATATCTTGTTGAAACTGTCCTAGAAAAAGCCAACAGTTTCCGTGTCATATTCTTTAGTCCCCATGCTTTCTGTTACTCAATAATAAATAATTACCTTACAGAAATACTCTGTGTCCTGCTGTGTCCTATGGTGTAGTGCAAGCTCTGGTTTGTGGCTCTCTGGTCGTTTTGAGTGGCTGCTTTTGTGCATGAACCAGTCAATCAAATTCTATGTCTTTGAGTTGGCCAATAATAATTAATAATTATATATAATTATGATGTATAAGAGCAAGAATTGAGCTCGACGTAGTCTTAAAAAATCTGATCAACAAAGCCTGATTTCAGAGGCGAGTCTGGATTGAGGATTATAGACTATATATATATAAATGTATAAAAAGTACAGAAAAGACTGAATTAATCTTCCTGGGGGCTCTGGGACAAAAATTGCAGACAGTTTATATATAATAAGTTTATATATATAAACGCAAACATGTACGAATAGAATAAAATATAACTATATAAATAGCTCACTATAGCCCCAAATCTGCAGCTGAAAACAGTCCCTAACAAATCTGCTATTTACTCTGGTTTCAGTAACTAATTCTCAAACTAAACTGTCCAGAATTTTGAGGAAATAATGAAATTAATATATATTCGGGGCCTATGGCAGGATCCTGTTTGTGGATTTTAGCTCTGCCTTTAACACCTTCATCCCAGCTCTGCTGAGTCTGCCCGACTCCACCAGCAACTAAATTCAACTCCAGGCTGCGTCCTTCTCGCTGTACACCAACAGACATCAGTCCATCAAGCTTAAGTCTATGGATGATACCACCCTAATTGGGGTGGGAGATTTACCACCTGGTGACCTGGTGCAGTCACAACAACTCTAAAGACAGTGGAGATGATCGACACCATCATCACCCAGCACCTCGAGTGGAGCTGGATATCAGTTCCCTCACCCAGCAGAGGGAACTAATATCTTTCTGTGGCAGTGATGGTGCATTCCTACACTGCAGTCATTGAGTCCATCCTCACCTCCTCCATCACCATCTGGTACACTGCTGCCCCTTAAGGACAGACTTAACGGCAGACTGCAGCGCATAATAACTCGCTCTGCAGAGAAGCTGATCAGCTGCTGTCGTCCATCCCTGCAGGACCTTGATGGCGTGCAGGTAAGATTGTGGTTGACCCTTCTCAGGAAGACCTCCTGTCACAATAAGGGCCCAGTTTCTTCCCGACTGCAGCCGGCCTCATGAACAACAATGACCCCCACAGACACTACACGTTACGTTACAATACTACACATCTTTCACGTTACATTAACGCATTATCTTCTGGATTATTATCACTAGTTGTTGCACATATTCTTTATACTAAATACTGTGAACTTTTAGACATTTTGATCAATATTTTGAACAAACTGTACAGCTCAGATTTGACATATTTTATTAAGAATATTTTTAAATATTTTTATTGTAAATGTTTCTATTTCTTATTTATGTTTCTTGACTTTTGCAGTACTTGCTTTTTATTATTATTTATTTGGGTATTTTAACAATGATTTTAACGATGAACAATTGACAATAATTTCTGTATTCTTTTAGTTCTTTCTGATCGTCACAGTTTCTGCATCATAAAGGTGTTTTTCAAAGATTTGATCAGAGCCGGCTGGATTCAAGACAAATTTAAGTCCACACAGTATTTCTATCTGTTAGCAAGCTTTGAAGAATCATGATGAAATCTGCGCAAACCTCTGACAAGAGCAGGAAGACTGTACTCATCTGTTTCTCTTTGTCACTGTACAACTGACAGGAAACCTTGTTTAAAACTTGCTTTTAACATAACTAACTCAACAGAAACTGGCGGCCAATATAAATTATAAACCATTTATACACGATTATTAATTTTGTTTCATATTTTATTATTATTTTGCCTTTAATTGACAGGACAGCTAAAGAAAGACAGGAAAGAGGGAGAGAGAGGGTATGACCCACAGCAAAGGGCCACAGGTTGAACTCGAACCCACGGCTGCTGCAGTGAGGACTCAGTCGTGGTACATGGAGTACCAACTCTACCAGGTGAGCTGCAAGGGCTCCCCCAATTATTAACATTTTGAAAAAATAATGCTACAAGCACAAGAAATCAATCCGTCTATTTATCTTATCGACCCAGTGATCCAACTCAGGGTTGTGGAAGCAAAAATGATTAAAAAAAAACACATTTTCTCCAAACTTTATTTCTCACATTTAACTTATTACACAGACAACCAAAAGAATGAGACAGTACAAGACCATAATGCATATAAATAGACATACAAAAAAAGGTAAGTACAATAAAATTAAACCTGGAGATGAATGAATGGAAACTCAACAAAATGTTAGACAAAAAAACCCCAAAAAACAGGTTTTTCTCACCAGGAAACTAAGCTTGTTATCTTTATACAAACGAAGGGTCACTTATTTTTTGCTACAGCTGAATCCCCACTGACTTGCACTAGCACTGCTAACAAATGCAAACATACACAAGGCTGTCATCAGATTCTGAGTAGAAAAACTGTGAAATCTGTGAAAACAAGTTGATTTCAAGCAACAAAAAGCAACACAATTTATCTCAAAACTCTAATTCAGTCTTTCAGCAAATAAAAAGCAACAAAGGCTGTCTGTTTCATTATACTGTTGATCTCTGCAGTGCTGAAAGCTGCATGCTCTTTTCATTGTTTGTTTTATTGCTTTGTGTGCTTTTGCTTGCTTGCTGTTATTGTTTTAATCATTTCTTTTTTGTCATTTTGCCTGTGTACTCTGTAAAGCACTCTGGGTTGCCCTTGGGTATGAAATGTGCTAAATGAATGTGCCTTGCCTTCCTTAGTCTGTCTTCCAGCGGATGACAAGGGGACTGTGTCCTGCCTGTGTCTTGTGCTCTCAGAAACAGTTAATCTACACTGCAGGCAGTCATTGAATGTATTCAGGATGGACAGTCGTCAGTCCCAGCATGTCCTGAACGCTCCATAAATCCTGCTGACAAAGTGCATATGAATCAATCAGCGTAGTTTATAGTGAAGCCATATACAGTATTGTTACATTGAGGAAAGTCAGAGTAAAAGAGCTGAAGCACGGGCAACATCTTGATGAAATGCAGATGGGCAATACCACCTGTAACAGGAATGGAGATTGACAACTGCAGAAACAAAATGATCATAAAAAACAATCTGAATAAAAGTAAACAAACACAATAAAACAAACCTTGAACATCACTGCTAGCAGCTGTCTATCTCCATTCCAGTTAACTCAATAGTGACTTTAGTCAGCTGGCACGCTTACAAAAATATTTGTAATTATTTCTGTCCATCAGATATGTTTAATATTATCGTACGGGCTGCGACAGTAAATAGCCAGACTTTTATTACTGGCGCCCTCCAAGTCCAAGTCCCAATTTTGACAACTTAACTTCAACTTAAATGTTGGTTAGTCAGTCATGATCACTGTGACTCTGATGAGCTTAGTAACTTGCACGTGCCTGCAGAAACTTGACATGTCTAGTAACTTGGACTGTGGGATGGCTGAAGTAACTCGGATGAGGTCCCACTGACTTGGACATGACCATAATGATTCTGACACGACTATAATAATTCAGACATGATCTTAGTGACTGGGACACAAATACAGCTTTAGACATGACTGTAATGACTCGAACATGACCACAGTGATTCAGACATGACCATAGAGACTCGCACATGCCTGCAGTAACTCAGACGTGATCGTAGTGACTCGGACAGCCCTGTATTAATTCAGACATGACCGACTGACTTGGGCATGACTGTACTGATTCACAAATGACTTGGACGTAATCGTACTCACTCATTATAGTGCTTTAAACTCGACTGTACAGACTTGAACATGTCCTTTGTGACTCTGATGTGACTTTGTTGACTTGATTTTTGACTCGAACATGACCATAGCTATTCAGTGACTCAGACTCAAACATTTAACATCAAAACACTGAAGACTTGGGGCTCGACTTGGACTTGTTTTAGGTTTTTTTTTTTGGCTCACTGTGTAACTTGCTATTCGTTTGTGCTTTTGGCCTCTAAATGTTGCCCATGTGTCATAGCCTCAAGATTTAGCCGGGAGGATACAGCAGCCATTCCAACACTATTGAAAAAAGCATATTAGGCTAACAGTACGTATAGCAATCACATGACTGGTTCTAGAGTGTAAAGTAAACATCCTCAGCGGTTACAACCATTCCTAGGAGCAAAATAGAGATATTTCAGTCACTGTATGTAATACATTTAACATGATGCAGCATTTCAATGATGATAGTCACTATTTCCGAGAGGAATCGATAAAGTGCCAAAACCTTACTTTCAAAGTCGCTTCAGGCTATACTTCCTGTTCAGTGATTTGGAGGAGGAGCTAAGAGGAGTCACTGTTGTCTCTGGAGAGAAGTCAGACATCGGGGTAAATCCACTGATCATCTCTGAAACTGGATATTCTTAATCAATCTTTAATCAATTCTTTAATGTATTATCGACTGTGTGGGAAGTAAAATTAACAAGACCACACTGTAAAACACTTACATTCAAAATATTACTTAAGCAAAAGTAGAGTAATATTAGTAGAAAATGTATTTAAAGTATCAAAAGTAAAAGTACTTATTATGCAAATAAAGGATTATAAATAATGCATTAATGTGTGGTAGCATTTTACTGTCGTATTGTGGATGTAAATCGAGCTGATTTGACTACTTTATATACTGTTGTGTAGTTTTAATCTATAATCTTTGTATCATTTTGTGTTTTTATGTAAATATACACTCATTTGTACAGACAGCTTTCAGGTAAATGTAGTGGAGTAATAAGTATAAAGTATAATACTTGAGTAAATGTACTAAGTTACATTCCACCAATGATAATCAGAGTAAACAATGTCTCCTTGATATTATAACTTAGGTAAAGTTCAGCTTTCTGCTTCCAGTTGGGGCCATTTTGTCGAAGAATTTGACTTAATGTGAAATAAAACCCTTCCTGATGCTGCGGCTGTTAGAAACTTTAAAAGCTGTTTTACATTCAAACGTTAAAGGTGGAAAAAGGTGCTTTTTTACTACGTTTCGTGTTTTATTTCTCTCGTGCAGCCACAGTGTAAAAGAAGCATAAGGCACACTAAACCAGATGTGTTTTTATGTAATGGTGACATTATCTAACATCAAGTAGAGATTATATTAAATGATTGACAAGTTCATTGTCTTTCCATGAGTTCAGATTTGAAGCTGACATATACCCCAGTGTCTAACATCCATGAAGGGGTCAGTGACTCCTCCTCCTCACCTCCATCCTAGCTTAACTCTGACTGGACATCTATTACTCTTTATACCCTTTAACTCCCATCAACTACTTCCTTCTTTTCTCCCCTTTTTCTTTGTACTCTTCTCATTTTCTCCACTTTATCCTCTGTCCATCCTTCATATCCTGTCTCCTCTTCCTCTTCCTCCATCAGAGATGCGTGTCTTGCTCCTCTTCTTCCTCCTCAGTCGCCGCTTGATTGACAAACACCTGAAAAAGAAAGGACGAGAGTTTTCACGGCTGTTGCCGGGCAGAATAAAGTTACAGACTTTACCACTAAACCTTTCAAGTCTTTTTCCAAACCCCCTCATATGGCTGCTTCATCCCCTCACTCCTCTGATCACCTGCCAGCGATTGCTGTCCTCCCCGCCTCCTTCTCCTCCCCCTACGAGCCCATTGGTGCTCGGCTTCTTCTCCTGCATCTCCGGCTGGCTGTCGTTGGCCACGTCCAGCATTGGGTTGTCGTGGCAACCGTTTTCCACAAAGTGAAGTTCCTCAGCGTGAAACTGCGAGTTGAAAGAGCAGCAAAGTATTACAGGTGCGTCTGTTTAGTGCACCTGTACGCAAGTGTATCTTCTGTTACATAACAGATGTCTGTGTGTGTGTGTCTGTGTGTGTGTGTGTCTGTGTGTGTGTTTACCTGTGTCTTAGTCGCAGGCAGTCGTCTTTGCCAGCAGATGTATATGAATCCAGACGTGATGATGACCATGCAGACGGAGCCGATGATCACCAGAACCACAAACAGCTTGCCGTAGTCGCTGCGTGTTTGACTGGGCCGAGACTGGCAACTGCCGGCCGCGCTGTAGTTCTGGATGCCAACCTGATGAAACACACACACAAACACACACACACACAATCACACAGTAGATGCGAATTAAATTCAATTATGTTTAACATGGTGTAAATGAGTCTACCTTTTTATATTTAGACTTGTAAATTGTATTTTTGTAGTAGCTCTGTAGCCACAGTAACAACATTTGGCCTAGAATATCTTTTTCCAGATTGAACATGGAAATTTTTTGCCTGCGATATCAGAGCCTGGAAACCGAGAGAAGGGAAGTACACACATACTGTAAATTGATGTGGCCGTGTGCAGCATTGGTTTTGAGTCAGCCCAGAGTTGTTTACTTGCTCGAAATTTGACTCAGCCCTCTAACAGCCAGCCGTGGTCTGTGTCTAATGAGGAGAGGACTGGCACAGTGGGACCTCACCGAGTTAATTTACCAGGATGGAGACAGGGTTGGGGATGAGAGTTGGGTGTCTCTCGCTCCGTCTAACCCTGCCGTCTCTGTCTGGGTCCATCTGTCTCTCTTTTTTTTCCCATCCCACTGTTTGGCCCTTTGCCTCTGTGTCTTATCCTCCTTCCTTCTCTATCCTTCTTGTGTCACATTCACTGCCACTTTTGCTGCTCTTTGAGCACTTTATAAGCAACTGCCACAGAAACTAAATACAGTAACTAATTACAATTGCAACGGTTACCTTTTCCAGTGTATTTAGTCCAATTTTGAAGCAACTGTTCCATTTCTGTCCTTAAGTACTATGGTATGGTCTAAGGTTGGAGAAACATATTTTCCACTAGAATTTAAAATAAAGTTCTGTTGGTTAAGACAGTAAGGCTTCAGGAGTTTTATTTGAAAATTGCAATTAAACAACACTGACATTTCCTTTACTGTCTCGGTATTACCCCGTGCATATCACCTTTCATTCCCGTATTGACAAGCAAACAAAAACAGGTAGACAAGATTAAAGAACAGACAGTGAGAGAAAGTAGGTAAAAGAAAGACACTTCACAAGAGCTCAAAGACAGAAAAAAAAGAGAAGAGAAGGAGAAGAGGAGGGAGCAAGGAGCAAGAGGCAGGCAGAGAGAAAAGAAGACACGAAAACATTTAATGGGAGCAAATAGAATGAAGAGAAGTGAGAAACAATGAGTGGGAAAGATGAGAAAGAAATGATGAGAGGGAATGTTTAGCAGAGGCATAAAGAGGACGGAGGGGGAGGAAAAAGAGAAATGAAAGGGTGAGAGAAAAAATATAGCAGGAGAGAGGGGAGAGACAGAGAAAGGAAAGATACTACAAAGAAGATGGATGAAGGAAACGGAGATAATTGATGTGAAACAACAAATAAGGCGAGAGAGGCGAAGCAATGAAGATTCCTCGAAAAGGCACAACAGGAGAGATCTGAGTTGAACAGAAAACGAGACAAGTGGAACGAGAACGGGTTGTTTAAAAAAGCCAAGGGGTCAGGACGAGGGAAAGAGATGACACCGATAGGAGATGAAAAACAAAGAGAATGGGAAAGAGACTTTTAAGCAGAATGCAAATGAGCAGAACAGAAGTGACACAGATGAGATTGATATAGGCGAGAGCAAAGAAAGAGGAAAAAGAGGAAAAGAATTTCAAAGAAGAAACTAAGATAAAATGACAGAACAAGACAAGCAGACAAAGGTCTGTTTTAAAATGCACAGAGGCTCAATTTAACCCTTTCATTTCCACCAATTCTCATTTTGTACTTGCATAAATCACCAATGTTCGACTGCTGTGCGCAATCTTGGTGGTACCATCAAGCAAACTGATGAATCTACATCCAGATTTTGTCAGTCAGAGAAAACGTAAACCTTCAACAAATGTGAAGAACTGAATCACTGGTTCTATTAGCTTTCCATAGACATTGAGTTTATCTGGGAGTTCTAGTGTAAGTATATGCAAGGTACTGAATTAATGACCCAGTCAGCCATTAATTCCCTGGAGTTTGTGAGCAGTCTTATGCAGACTGTAGCAGTGAAGGTGTCCATCTGTTAGTTATCTTTTATTGATTCACATAGGGAAATTCATTGTCTGCATTTAACCCATCCTAGAGTGTGTTAGAACCAGTGGGCCAGTGCCTTGGTCAAGGGGACTGACAGGAGAATTTACCCTTCCTATGTCCCCATCCATTTTTGGTCCGTGCTCCAACAACAGCTGAGCAAGCCTTGGACCGACTGAGGCTCGCCATGCCATGCCATGCTTGCCATGCTGGCTTTCTTGGCTTTACGCACCACTGAGCTGCTTTGATAGGAATGAACAGAGCGCCTCCTCCAATGCTGTATCCAGTTCTCCTTTTACATCCATGCTAATAATTCCTCACCACTGAAGCCACACACTCAGCAGGACCACTACCAAAAGATATTGGCTTTGCAGCAGCACTCTGAACATGCATCATGCAGGATATTGCATTTTCACTGTTAATATTAGTTAGCTTAGCTGTCATCTGTTTGAACCTGGGTCTTAGGTGTAATTTGGCACTAAACACAAAGTACAACTGAGGCTGATGGTCATTAGTTTTGCAGCAAAAAAAAAAAAAAAGTATTGTACAAACTACCATATTGACCTGATAATGGCGCTAAAGTAAAATTAGGACAGAGTCTTCTTTTCACCATGAATATATGTACCAAATGTTACGGCAGTCCATCCAGGAGTTGAAGAGACATTTTACTAAAAAACAAAAATGCTGAACTCGTGGCGAGAAAGCAAAAGTCAATAGGCTTCATCCTTTGGGGACCATGAAAATTTTGGGGCAATCCATCCAATAGTTCTTGATATTTTTAAGTCTCGACCAAAGTGGTGGACTGAGAGGCAGGCATTGCCTTTCTTGGAGCCACACCACTGGCATGGTTAAAAATGGCTCAATATGTATCAATATATAAATATGTTTATAGCCTTGAAAATAACCCAAAACATACAGTAGGCTACAGAGGGAAAACTGATTCATCCTCTCTGCACAAACAGGGTTTTCCAAGGCCGTAACAGAGCACAGAGAATTATTACAGGAATTATCAGGAAATATAGGTGAAAGATGAAAAACGCCAAAGGATGTCTATGTTCATATCATCACTCTTTGTATAGCATGCAATTAGTTTAGTGTATTAGTGTATAATTAGTTTATTGTGGCTCAAATTGTGGTATCTATAATGTGATGAGATGAGGTTGACTTCACTGAGTTAAGGAGAGCATGAAGATGAAGTCGGGATTACGAGTCACTAGATTGAAGATATTGATTGACTATAGATCTGCTTCACAACCGCTTAACCCTATTAACCCGTCCATCTAAACTTAGTTTCCTGTCAACAAACCCACACGATTCTGGCCACTGGTTTACAAAAGATTTAGAAGTTCATTTTTTAATAATATTACCCTTTAAGCTGTAGAAATGTATTTAATGTACTTAAATGAGCCCCCAGTATCTGCCCAGGGCTCATGGATGGTGTCGGGCTAGTTCAGGTAGCAGATGCCCACGTAACACATACTTCTCAGCGTTACCAAGTGGGAACATGAACATAGAAAATACAGGACGGAACCTAAAATTGAACCCTTCATACCCCTGCAGGTATTACATGCTCAGGTTGACAATGAATTAACCATGGTGACACAGAAAGCTCTGGTAGAGAGGCAGCAGGTAATACCAACCCACTGCCTCAGTCAATTTAAATTTCAAGAACCTTATTAAAGGCTGCGCTTAGGTGGAAAAGATTTTATAAATTGTAGTAATGAATCTGCACCTGCTGCTGGGAGAAGGTCAGAGGGTTGGCTGGAGGACAAGGTATGACGGGTGATTGAAGTGGTGGTGGTGCCAGTATCAGTACCATTACACATATAAATGCGCACATACAAACCCGTGGTTCCAATTCTTGTAAAATTATGTCTGCACTCTTGAGGCATGAGCGGGCACACGACTCAATGGGGTAACATCTGTGCCGAAGCGCAAACACACACAAACACACTCAAACACACGTATACACACAACCGCTGCCAATGTGAGAAGAGGTGAGGATGGCCAAGGGGCTGGAGGCCAGGGACCTGAGGCTGTGGCCTTTCATATATCTCTGTCAATACATCATCACTTTCTCTCTCACACTAACACTAACACACACACACACATACAC